GAAAAAAAGATTACAACAGTCCCAACCGCATTATCCTCGAAAAGCGCAGTCGCCACCACGTTCAAATGAAGTACGCAGCCACGCCCTCCCCGTCTCCGGGATATATGGCGTAGATTCTAGAGCACTGACTAATTTACTTGACTTGAGTAAAATCGCCATGTAATTGCAGGTCCCTTATATAAAACGAAATGCTCATCGAGCGTACGAAAAACAAGCACGATATCAGGAAGACATTTTTTTGCGAACGAAAAGGCGAATCGTACAGTTGAGGGAGGCCCTTCGGAAGTTAGTTGGGTTCTATTAACTTCATTAGAAAGCACATTATGTAGCAGAAGTCCGTCTCGAAGATATATGGCTTGAAGAGCAGTTGCGCATCGGCTTGATTGGGGTACCAAGTGGTACACAGCGAAACTTGTGCAGGTCACTATGTGAAGATCTGTGAATTCCTGGACCAAATTGGCTCACTTTTACCATGTCGCGGGTCCCATCAAAGTGAGAGCTGCAAGTTGACCAGTACTAGCAAAACAATTCAACGAAAGTGAAAAATGCCCTCCCTAAGCCGGACAGCACCGAAATATATGATGTAGTTTCCCTCGTGGAAAACTGGATAGTTCCAATGGGAAGCTCCTTGTGTAGAGACCAAATCACCTTGAGAGTTCAACCACAACTTGACAGTAGGATAGAGTTCACGGCGTATGCTCGGGGGTCATTACCAAGTGATTGTCTTGGCCCATGCCTCTAGGAAAAAGATAATCATTGCTCAAATCGGTATAGAGGCTAATCAGGATGAAGTTCGCGTTACATTTTTTTAGTGCTGATGAAAACAGGAATCGAATGTTGCTTGGAGAACAGAAAATCGGAAAATGGGGGTGGTTCTGTTTTTTTAACAAGTTGTCTCACTTTTCTTTTCGATTTTATTGCGCAACACCGGTACAGTGAGATGAGGTGAAGGGCGGTGGGGGGGAGTGACGGGCGGCGAAGGAGGGAAAAGTTCGACACCCGGATTAGGGGGCCTTACTCTCACTCCTCTGTTCGCCTGAACGTTTACAATAATGTGGGATACGTTTCCATGCAATCAGGGAGGCAGGGCGAGCAAGCGGGGGGGGCGGAAGACGGTGGCTTATATTTACCGACACTACGCTTGCCCTGAACTACTACGCTCAAAATCCCTGACATGCGGTAGCAGCGGACTGAGCTTTTGGTGAAGTAATTTGGGCTTTCGAGAATGTAGTTTTAACCATGCACTGGTCCAAAGACAGAACAGAGCTTACAGCTTGTTTCAAGTTAACGCACCCGTATGCCATGATCAAGTGTCACGCCATTCCGCTCTCAGAGATAAAGAGTATAACCTTTGCGCTCTAGACTTCGCGCTGCCATTCTACACTTTCTTACTCTGCTACAAGTTCGCAGTTTGTTTTCAGTGTATCGGAACACAACTGGGGATGGCATGAGCACGATTTCATTGGAGTTTACGAAAGACTCACGAAAAAGCACCATGCTTCGCTAGTTTTCAGGTATGTTAATTCTACTTTTTTATTGATCGATTCTTCTGGTTTTTCTTGAAGTTGTATTTGATGTGGGGAAGCGGCACAGAACCTGCTGCAATTTCAGTGCCCGTCATGAGGCTATTGCTGTCATCATGGACAATCGGCCACCACCAAGTGAGGAGAAACGCGCCAATCAAGTCTTCTTCGTAAGTTTGATACTTGTTGAATAAATCATTATTTCTTGTTCTTTCTTTCCTTATTATTTATTGATTTGTTTATTTATTTATTTATTCGGTCATTTAATGCACTTGGGGGACAATATCACCACCCGAAAGAGTCATATCCTGTTTCCAGTTGATAGATCCGCGAGCGCATAGACAGGATCCAAGAAAGTTCAAGAGTATTGGAGAAGTGAAGCGGTACTATGGAGATCAAGTGGAATCAGCGCTAAGAGAAATACAAGAAGTCGGCGAGACGGTAAGGAGTCTTCTGGTGTATGTAGTTTGCACGCAACGGCCAACGTTTCCGCAAACATTAGGCTGCGTTTATACTTTGCGGCAGCGTAGCGTAGCGCTTCCAGCGTACGCCAGCGGCAGTGCCGGGGAGAGGATGGATATCGATCTAGCGTTCCCAGCGTGGCGTTTGCAGCGGCAGGGGAGTAGAGACTATGTGGCCGTAAGAGACGCGCAATCGATGTGTATTGTAGAGACTATGTGGCCGTCAGAGACGCGCAATCGATGTGTATAGTAGAGACTGAGGGCGAGTGAGAGACGCGCAATCGATGTGTTTTGTACCAGCTCTCCCATAGTCTCTACTCCCCTGCCGCTGCAAACGCTAGCAAAACGCTAGCGTTACGCTACGCTGGTGACGCTGGGAACGCTAGATCGATATGCATCCTCTCCCCGGCACTGCCGCTGGCGTACGCTGGAAGCGCTACGCTACGCTGCCGCAAAGTATAAACGCAGCCTTAGCTGTTCGTGATGGAAATAAAGAGCCGTTACGGTGTCTACACTCCATTTCACGCCTCTCTTTACGAAGATGAACACCGAAATGGAAATTATAGATTGAAAAATGTGGCGTATTTTCTCACCATCAACCTACTCTAGTGATATCAACCCAGATGTAAGCAGAATGGATCGAATCATTGAGCTGATGACACAGGTACATTTCTTCTCTAGTAGGCTAACTTAAACTCCTGATCAGAGTAGGACAGCTCCAACAGGGTATAGCACGGCCGTGAGAATCCCATCGTGGGTGCGGGTGGTTGCAAGAGGTGGTCCGCATCCTTATCGGGCGAACAGCTTCATTCGTGTTCCCCAAGGCTCTTCAGTGTCCAGGGGAGGAGATTAAATTGATCTGCTAATAGTGTGGTGCATGCGTGGTAGGCCCTAAACACCAACACATTCTTCCTCGAGAACAACAGCTGTAATGGCTCCACTCTCGTGGTCCAACTCAACCCCATTCCAATCACAACTCGGGTTGCGGCTGATACGATTCCTCGGGCCTGGCAAATTTCTCTTGTGATCTTGCCCTAGTTGCGGGCTCCGACAACAATATAACTACTACTTCCGACCTTCTGATGGCTGATTGAAGAGGTCTCTGCCCTCCCCACACGACTCAGCTTTTTTGGGCTAAATCCGGAAAGTTCGAAGAGGGTGGGAGGGGATCGAACCAGGGATGTAAGTAGAGGGATGGGAGGGGATTCACCGCTATTTCACCCATTCCGATCTGTGCCCTGGCTCAAAATGCGGCTGGGGCAACATGTAGAACAGCCAAAAGACCTTTCGAGGGTACATTCCATACTCATCGCCTAGGTGATGCGGAGTTTATTATTTTGCCTACTTCACTGGTGAGTCCTCCTCCAAGCAGGTAAAGAGGAGGACGTGTCTGTGAGGAAGGCACTCACCATTGATGGGCCTAATCTCGCCCATACGAAGCGTGAAATGGGCTTTAATACTAGTGTTCGACCAAATATGTTTCCAGTACGAGGCCGGAAGACTGCAACGAAGAGCATGGGCAGAAAAGATGCAATCAAGGCGAATGCGTCACTTCTTCGAGGACGAGTTCTCGGATGTAATCATTTCAGCATCTTTCCTTTCTCCAAGTCTACATTCTTCCTCCTCTGAGTTCATTAGCATGATATTTCAGGGTTGGTACCAACCAATAATTCACGATCTCGAACACTCACTCCACAAGGCAATTGTGGACCTCGAAAGAGATTATTGGCCCAAGTTCAAAGCTTATATGGAAAACGGTACAGCCATTAGGGTGAGTTGAACTACTGATACTCCTTAGGCACGGTACTCTAGAGTGAAGAGTACAGCACTTCTCGCAGGTCCGAGTGAAGGCGTACCTGCCCACATTAGTTTCGGCAGAACTCTTTGCCTACTCGCTCTATGAGCGACAACTTGTGGTAGAACACGTGCACGCGCCGCCTCGAAGAGTATACGTTCAGAGAGGCCTTCACATAACTCCCCGATAGCGACTGTAGTGTAGGGGGAACTCTCTCTCCGCTTAGGACGCGCACGCTTCTGAAGATCGCATCTCGTGGTCGGAATTTTAAGTTCAAACTTTGCCCCTTTCTGAGAAGAATAATCAAGAGAAAAATACTCAACCTCCAGTCTCTTTTTAGGACGCGCCACCTATTGTGTTTCGATCCCCAACAATAGTGGCAATTGACCAGTTTTACAGTACTCAAGTCTTTTTCATTGCGGACGCTGGGGCGTTTCACAGTGGTTGGGTTTGGCGCGGCGCCGGCGAGTTTCCAACAAGTGCGATCGCCTGGCAGCTTCCATAATAGGCGGACAACAGGCTGACGTTGCCCGGATCCAGTTTCCTGAAACGTCTGGGCGCCTGCATTGAACAGGACTGTAGACTGACCGCCTGAGAAGAAATAAAAGGCCTTTTTGATTTGCGAGGGTTCTATTAGGTTGTTCGGAAAGGAATGCGCGTTGACTTTGTCTATTTATTTCTCTTCTACTATAGGAGATTTTTCAAAACAGTTTTGTCCATTAGAGAGGTTTTTATTGCGCATCTTTTGATATATTTTTTCTATGTCTACCTTGTTTTTTTAGAGAAAAAAAAGTTTAGAAAATGCTCGACCAAAAATTTCGAATGCGAGCTTGTATGTGGTAAGACTTCAAGCAAGTCCTAACGACGCACTTGGACCTAATGACCCACTCGGCTCACAGGGGCAGCGGGCGGACCTAGCGACACACTCGGCGAGAAAACTGGCAAAAAGAGGCTCTTTTGACCTACATTTCCTCTCCGGCGGACCTAACGACACACCCGAGGGGAAAAGTAGTGAAAGAGGCTCTTTTGGCGAAGTTTTTGCGTACAGTTGGCAACAAGTCATTGCTAGTAATGGAGATTATCTTTTAGATTGACCTTGTTTAATTTCGTTTTTATAATAAAAATTTTTTACACTCAAACGCGCATTCCTTTCCGAACAACCTAATATTTCCGAGCCAGCAAAGCGTTTGCGCTCTTTTCCCCCTTCTCCACATCAACTCACGTGAGTGAATAGCCGGAAACTACCTCTGAAGCCCTCGCCATTTCAGACAACTACTCTGCTGTTTTTCGACGATGTTTCGCGAGAAAACGAAAAGAGGCTGGAAAAATTCGTCATTGACATGCATAACTGTACAGTTGGCGAGATTAAGACTGCCTCTCGCGAGATGTTGAAGGATTTCAAACGGCTTTACCGTGAATTACAGGTGAGTAAAATTTCTGCTGGTCCTAGGTTTTGTCGAGGTGTTATTTTCAGGCCTCAGTAACTTCCAGTGTAGTTTGAAACGTCCTAGGCACGGTATTCTACAGAGACTAACAGGGTATCTCTCAGCCAGTCAAACCGATGCGTTACCCTGGTCTACGGACAACTTGAACAATTCCTTCACGGTAAGGGCGACAACTAGGCGGGCAAGCAAGACGACGTAGGCACCAACCCGCAACCCCCCCCCGTAACAGGGTCCGATCCGAGAACCCCATCAGGTCGATCCGGTCATTTGTTATACGAAGTTATGCATAGATGGACGTGCCTTGAGCAGCTGAACTGCACTCTGCCCTTGGAATTTGCGGAAGAATTCTCTGGAGGAAGTTGCGGAGCATTTACTCTCTGATGTGTTCATACAAGTTCGGAACGATAACTGATTGCGGCAAGCGGCCGGTGGTGTAGTGGATAAGCGCACTGCTTCAGAGGCCCGAGGTTTCATGTTGGAATCCTTGATTCAGAGTCAGAGTAGCAATCTTGCGACCCGCCCGACTATCTTGAGCCTACTAAAAAGGATACTCTGCAAGTGCCCGCTACCAAGAAGAATCCCTTCATAACTAGCTTCATGGATCTGGATAAAATGCCTCCATTTGATCGCATCTTTTGCCTGATCACGAATCGGATGTGCTGAACAACACCATGACTTCGATATTTGCGTTCTGACGACAGGCGTTAGGAAGGAGTTACTCAAAACAAATATTTCTAGTCGTCCTATTCGAATCTGTTCAAGAAAGAGCTACCAGATTACTTGGAGAATTTCGAATTCGGAACGAAATTCGTTAGGTAAGTCTGTAATTCAGCTACGCGGGGATGCCATACTGGAAACACTATTTTCAGAGAGAATTTTCGCCATGGTAAACGTGTTTCTTCAACAAATGCATCTAGAGTACTGGAGACAAAGTAAAACATATGGTTTCTGGAGTCTTGCTTGTAAGTTCTGTTATTAAATTGCAGTCCTTCATGATCATATGGGCGGAGTCAAACTTATCATTGTGCTTTCACCGATGGTGCGCCTTATCTGTTCTTTGTATTAGCAAGAGAAGGGGTACCAACGAAGAGGGCGCGCTGGTAGGCATTAATCCACCTATGCGGACAGTGTGGACTGTGGTGCATTTGCTCAGGCTTATTGGGAATCATGATTTCTTCATCGAACAATCTCGAGCACTTTTTCAGGCGATATTGGCGGTGCTCTTGGTCTCTTCCTTGGTGCAAGTATGCTGACTATTATCGAACTAGTGTACATATGTTATCGATATAAAATGTGCGGAAAGGTTTACAAGAAAACCGATAAAAACATAAAGAGATGGTGAGTGCGATTCATAGAGACATTTATGGATAATAATGATGATATGTATCCTATCCTGCAGTTGGCGAGACGCACGCGGCGCCGCGCGGGTGCAGAATTTCTGGGTGCAGCGACAGCATTTTTTTCCTTTTGGCATATTCTAACCAAACGCCTGAATGCGCAAAAAAAGAGCTAGAAAAGACGTCCGCGGTGTTCGAAGCGATGGGTGCGTCTTCCACTTTAGAGTAAGGGTCAATCACATCTCTCCTTCACTCCCTCCCCCACAGCAAAAACTCAAATGAGTTATGAGTACTACTTTTACTCCGTAATTTGATCGATATAATGAGTTACTGGTCGGTTGCAGTTGGGAAGGTGGTCGTCAATGTATGCAGCCGTGTGCGAAATGCTGCGAATCATTCTCAGAGAAGACTAGTCACGTTAGTTCAGACTTCGATAGCATGATGAATCCGATGGAGGAACGGTAACTGCCATTGCTTGCTTGGTTTTGCAGATTCCAACCCAACAGTTTGATATTCAGGCAAAAATCATCATGGCTAAGCCCGCTTCTGGATTATCCGTCGGCATACGCTTCACCAAATCCACCCACAGATTTGGAGGAATACTTAGACGCTAGCGATGTACAGCCTCCCAGATATGAGGACACATTTGGTTCGTGACTATTGTACTACTTATTTACCAGTAAATTGACTCTACTTGATATTGTTCAGCTATGAGTGACTCAACGCCTAGTATTCCCAGCAAAGACAATTCCCGTAGTCCATTAGAAAGGAGTCGCAAAGGGTCTCGGTGAGAAAAAGAGTTCACATCGTAGCATTTGGATCGATTACTCGGTAATTTCAGACTTTCTGGTATCCCCGAAGAAGATAGCGGTGTGGGATCAGAAAATGGAGATCCATTGGGCAGAAGTCGACTGAAACTGCCTCCACCACCTCCCCGTCCTGCAGTACAACAAGGAGATCCCTGGAGTCCGCCCCAGTCTCGTACTCGACCAGCCCCCACTGAAGACAAACGAACAAGCGCTGGTGTTCCGCTACTTGAGGTAGGGTCTATTTGAGTGGATTTTGAAATTCAATGAAATGAGCGAAATTGAATTTAATCAGTGTGAATGGGCCAGCCTCAAAAATACTACCAACAGACGAAACGATCCAGTTCCCTAGCCGATTGCGACTACTGGGAAATTGACCTGGAGCCATATGTCTTCTGTATTTGTTTCAGGCACCTCTGCAGAC